GCATATTCTATTGAGCACTACTTGTATAACTCATAGCCTAGTCCCTGGAGCATTTAATGTCTCACTTTTGTGGACTGTGACATAGTGAAAATATATAACCAATAAGGTAACAACAATGAAGGTAATTTGAAAGGTTGTAATTGCAAATTAAATTGAAAGTGTATTTGTTAGCATCATTATGAAGAGGCATTAGAGGGATACAAAAAAAGATCCATTCATATCCTCTGGGAATTTACAATCTACTTGGGCATAAATAATGTAAATGTAAATTGATAGAAACAGCTACTAAGTTATAGTCAGTATTTGGCATATGGAAAACATTCAGCAAATAATTGTCTTACATATTAATTTTCAGTCATGTCATTCTTTTAAAAGAGATATGATACTGATAAGAAATAAAGGAAGGATTCATTAGGAAAACTTTCATGGAGGAAATGAATTTGTACTTCATGTGTCCCAAAGGAAGACTAGAATAAGCAAGCTGTTTGTGTTGGGGGACTGGTTAAAAGTTGCATACATGGAGAATGAAGAGTTTGATGAGATAAAGTTTGGTGGTAATTTGTAGTAAACCTTAAAGAACAAGAGGAGATTGTATGTGATAGCAGAGGTGATAGAGACCTATTCTCTATGCAAAGGATGGCATGGTTAAAATTGAGATTTATATTTAAAAAAATTCTAGCCAGCAATTGAGTGTAGTGAAAACTGAGGGAGAGAGAGGAGAAAAAAAGATTTTGGTGCAGTTCTGGAATGGGATATTATTAGAGAGTGGCTGTAGGCAGAGCCATCATTAGGACCTTTCTCCCCAATTACTATACAATGAAAACTATTTTGAGATGATAAAGTCAGTAATAAGCCTTGACTAGAACAAAGCCACAGTACCAATTGGAATCAGTACCACCCCAATTCTTCATTGCTGGTGGTGGTAGGGAATGCTGTGTTGACTGATAATGATTTAAAGTTAGTCATCTAACCATTATTTATATTTACCTGTTATTCAGTAACAGAAGTTCTGAACTGGGTGTGATTTTTGAACCCCCAAACCCAACAGGGACATTTGGCAATGTCTGGTGACATTTTTCCTTGTAGTAACTATGGGCTACTACTGTCATCTAATTAGTAGAAGCCAAAGATAGATATTGCTAAACATCTTATGATGCATAGGAGAGCCCCCGACAACAACAAATTTTCCTGTCCAAAATGTCAACAGTGGCCTAGGCTGACAAACCTTCAGTGATGGATATGAAGCATGAGCTCTTACTCTGGAGAGCTGTACAATGAGGCCTAGAACCTAACTTCTATTATAGTGACATTTCAACTGAAGAAATGTTTTATTTATTCAGTGGGTCAAATGAAGCTCTGAAAATGGCAGTTATCTTCCTAGCCCTGAGGCCTTAGAAACAGGAAAATCAGGAGGATACCTGCTTGGATTTTCTACTCTTTATAAAATGGAGATAGAAATTTTCCTTAAGGATTTGTTTTCTAAATGCTATTTATTAAATTAATAAAATGTGCCTTTGGAGTTGCTTAGCAACTTATGAAAAAGCTTGTTTTTTAGAAGTGCATTTGTTTGTTTAAAACTAGGGTAGGTTGCATATTATTAGCTACATTACATAAATCAACAAAGAAATGTACACTGAAAATGGAATAAGATGTTTCAACACATTTTCTGCTCTCTGTGTCTGGCAATTAAAACACTCTAATTGTCTGGTAGAATTGCATCAAGTATTCGACAAATGTTATTTATGTATGAAACTTCAACATAATATTGAGTATGTAGGAGAACCAAAGGGGAAAAATTAAGCAGGTTTGTCATAAAGTGTGTGTTTGTCTTAACCTTTCTTCTTCAAAAATCTTATCAACTAAGTACTTTTTATCAGACACTAATTATACTCTTTCTGAAAAGAATTTCTCCAACACCCTTCAGTGCTTGCACCCTTTAATCATATCTCATTACATCTACCTAATCCATATCTTTTTCACATTGCCAGGGCTCATTAACAGTTTTAAAAGCCAATCTTGGACATTATTATTCCTTGTAATTGAGATGAAAATAATGCCAATAATATTTTATTTCTAAAATGTAATGGATCATTTAAAATTTGTTCTGAAGCCACTTCTTTCTTAAATATTAATGAGAAATTAACTTTTTAACATGCATTAAGCTAGCAGGAATGGTGAGATGTGTCTGAAAAACCTAAAGCCCCTTTTTGGAGGCAAAGTTATTTTTATAAGCTGTTTTAACAGTGGATCATCAGTCACTTTGAAGGGAAGTGATCCTTGATTAACAGTTGGCTGATATTGTGTTTCTACAGATGTGTGGAAGCAATACAGGTGCTACCTATGAACCACGACAGACCTGAGCATTTTCTTTTTATGACTGAAAAATATAAGTTCTTGAGTGGGCTTTCATCTTTGTGTATTAGCCCATTTAATTTTAGACAAGACAAACTGAACATCCAACTCAAATAATGAACCATAGGTACTATGTTTCCCATAAACTTAATGAAAAGATTACAAATATGGCTAGTACTTTATCCCTGCTGACTTCTCATTTTTAGAAAAGGAAACCAAGATCCAATTTGCAGTTACATGACTGAAGTAGAGCATCATGCAATGACATTTTAGGACTTGAAAGTCAAGTCCTGTCTCTCAGAATATAACTACATAGGACTAATGTTATTCTCAAAAACAAAAGCTGCTTCCAATATTATTATTGAGTTTCAATTTCTTTCTCAAAAGTAATCTTTAAGAGCCTTAAGTAAAGTTTAATGGCTTATCATTGTTATGCATATACTATTAAGCTATATTAGAAAGAAACACAAACCAAAAGTAATTGTCCAAAAACGCCCGGATTTTGTACGAGTACCTCCAGCTATTATTCAATAGTGGTGGAAAAGCAATAAAGCTTTCATTTAGATTGATTTTTCCCTATTTATTATTTCTGCCAAAGAGTATTTATTTTAGGTGTTTTTTTAGATATATATTTTTTAGTGCTCACCTGAAGACTTTTTAAAATTGATTTTATAGAAAGAGGAAGGGAGGGAAACATGAATGTGAGAGAGGAACATTGACTGGTTGTTGCCTGTACCTACTCTGACTAGGAATCAAACCTGCAACCTTTCGGTTATGGGACAACACTCCAACTAACTGAGCCAAACTGGCTAGGGCTTATTATATATCACTTTAGTGTTTTCTTTCAAATGTTTTCTTTTAGAATTTTATATTTGTTCTTATTTCTCTCTGTTATAAGTTTCAGCTTGCTGTTGGTTATAGAAGATTGTTATTAAACAGAATCAAGTGAAACAGTGTAAGAGTTGATGTGTTAGGTGTGCTGTGTCTTTTCTTTTTCAAGTATAGTTGTCTTCATTTCCCACTGCCACTCTCTCCTGCCCTACTCATTCCCACCTCTCACCCTCAATCCAAACTCCTTTGGCTTTGTCTATGGGTCCTTTATATATGTTTCTTGATGACCCTTCCTCTTCCTTCCCCCATTTTCCCCCCTCCTCCCACCTTTCTGGTTACTGTCAGTTTGTTCTTTATTTCAACATCTCTGGTTCTATTTTGCTTGCTTCTTTGTTTCGTTGATTAGGTTCCACTTATAGGTGAGATCATATGGTATTTGTCTTTCATTACCTGGCTTATTTCACTTAGCATAATGCTCTCCAGTTCCATCCATGCTGTTGCAAAGGGTAAGAGCTTCTTCTTTCTTTCTGATGCATAGTATTCCATTGTGTAAGTATACCATGGTTTTTTGATTCACTCATTTACTGATGGACACTTAAGTTGCTTCCAACACTTGGCTATTGTAAATTGTGCTGCTATGAACGTTGAGGTGCATAGGTTCTTTTGAATTGGTGTTTCAGGATTTTTAGGGTATGATCTCAGCAGGGAATGGCTAAGTCAAAAGGCAGTTCTATTTTTAGTTTTTTGAGGAAATTTCATACTGTTTTCCACAGTGGCTGTACCATTCTGCAATCCTACCAACAGTACAGTAGGGTTCCCTTTTCTCCAGAACCTTGCCATCACTTGTTGTTTGTTGATTTTTTTTACAATGGCCATTCTGACATGTGTGAAGTGGTATCTCATTGTGGTTTTAATTTGCATCCCCCTGATGGCTAGTGATGCTGAGCATCCTTTTATATGCCTCTGGGCCCTCTGTGTGTCCTCCTTGAAGAAGTGTCTGTTCAGGTCCTTTGCCCATTTCTTAATTGGATTGTGTGTCTTCCTGGAGTGTAGTTGTGTGAGTTCTTTATCTATTTTGGAGATGAAAGTCTTGTCTGAGGTATCATTGGCAAATACATTTTCCCATACAGTTGGTTCACTTTTCATTGTGTTGATGTTTTCTTTAGCCATGCAGAAGATTTTTATTTTGATGAAGTCCCACTTATTTATTCTTTCCTTTATGTCCCTTGCTCTAGTGTACATATCAGTGAAAACATTGCTGCGTGGACTATCTGAGGGCTATCTGGCTGCAACATCTGTCACCCCATTGATTGCCTGGGTTATGTCTTATCTTTTACTGTTGCTAAGAACTGAATAGAGTAAGTTAATTAGATTTTTAGGATCTGTAACAATTTTTTTTCAAAAATCACTCTATTGGCATTTTTTCTTTTAAATTCTCTTAATTTCTTTACTCATCTTTGGGGAGGGTAACTTTGCATGTACTCAACTATACATAAGTTTTCATGTGTGTGTGTTTTGCTTTGCTGAAGTAGCTTGAGTATTCAAGTTTTACAAAATACCAAAGGCAATGCTTATTTTAATGAAATTTTCCTCATTTTATTATCAATGAAGTTATTTCTACTAATAAAAATAAAACTTACTAAACTTAACAACATACTATAATATTACAACAATTTAAAAAATTACAAATTCAGTATTAGCATAGTTTAAAACTTTTCATTTTTATAGCATTTTTATCTTTGTTTTTCATTGTTAAAAATGTTTTGCCTTTTCTGTACTGATCATATATTTTCTTGTCCTTTTGCCATTACTTTCAGAGGTGTCTCACTGGTTTGCACAATGAAGATTGATACCATGATCATCCTACTTGCATCAAAGGACAATTATTCATCGGTGTGCTGTTATCAAGCAGAGATTTCCAAATATTAGTTCTTTAACTCAAAGAAAAGTAGCTGCATTCAGGCAGAAAGGCATGTGGGAACCCCTAAGTGTGTATGATTTGTCTCCCGACAAAGTTGCTTCAGCATTTTTGTTTGTTTGTTTTTTAAATGCTTCTCTCTGTAGTATCCTCCAGACTCTAAACTACTAGATGGGTTCCTAAGTTCCTTCAGATGTGTCCCAAGTCAGAATTCTTTATCCACTTCCCACCCTCTAGCTCCATGGATTAAGAAGAAACAATAATAAAGTAATAAAAATCATTTGTTTCTGTTTGACTGAATCATCCCAGGCTTGAAGTGCCTTAATGGGTTAATTAGCCTTATTGTTGCATTTACTATCTTACACACACTGGTTTGTGGGAAAGTGTTCCTCTTGGCCTTTGCCTTGTTAGAAAAAGGAACACTAGGTCTGTCGCATTAGACTTTGCTCTTGAAGTACATGGCACTATGGCAACATAAAGCTTGAGCAAGCTTAGTTTTTCCTTGATGGAATGCTGCTGGCATAGAACCATCTTTCCCTGTCATTGTATGCTGGCTTTGATTTATTCTGGGCCATACCCCCTTCCAGAGCAGTTCTAGTGTAGTATGGGGTTTAGTAGCATTAGAAAGGGAAGCCTGGTGCCTCTTATAGGAGGAGTTCTGAGAGCTTTACCCTAGCAATCAAGATGTGTGTTTTGATTAACTGAATCCTGCAAATATATCCCTTCTAGCCTAAGTGAAAGAAAAAGAGAATATCTGCTATTATTTATCATCATTCATTTCTCATAAATAACCAAGATTTTCAGTAAGTATTATCTTGTCCTTGAATTAATTCTTTCAATTCTCGTCATAGCTTTTGTTCTTATAGATTATAATGAGAGAGGTATTGACAAGAAAACAAAAAGGACTCAAGATGAGCTTTCATTTTGGTTCTTAAACTTCAAGATCAACACTGGAGAGCATTATGCTAAGTGAAATAAGCCAGACAGTGAAAGACAAATACCATATGATCTCACCTATAAGTGGAACCTAATCAACAAAACAAAGAAGCAAGCAAAATAGAACCAGAGATATTGAAATAAAAAACAAACTGGCAGTAACCAGAGGGGCAGGGGGAGCAAGGTGACAGGGAAAAGAAAGGGAAGGTTCATAAACGAACATGTATAAAGGACTCCTGGACAAAGACAAAGTGGAGAAGGATTGAGGGTGGGAGGTGAGGGTGGATGGCATGGAGGAAAGTGGTGGTGGGAAAATGGAGACAACTGTACTTGAACAACAATAAAAAAAAGAATTTTTTTTTTGGTTTAGATTTTATTTATTTATTTTTAGAGAGTGGGGAAGAGAGGAGGGAAGAGAAGGAGAGAAACATCAATGTGTGGTTGCCTCTCACATGGCCCCCACTGGGGATCTGGCCTGCAACCCAGGGATGTGCCCTGACTGGGAATTGAACCAGCAACCCTTTGATTTGCAGCCTGTGCTCAATAATCCACTGAGCTACACTAACCAGGGCAGGAAAAAAAATACTTCCTTTTTTTAAGATTAAAAAAAAAGATTTTATTTATTTATTTTTAGAGAGGGAAGGGAGGGAGAAAGAGAGAGAGAAACATCAATGTGCGATTGCTGGGGGCTATGGGCTGCAACCCAGGCATGTGCCCTGACTGGGAATCGAACCTGCAATGCTTTGGTTCACAGCCTGTGCTCAATCCACTGAGCTATGCCAGCCAGGGTGAATTTTTTAAAAATTTAAGTTATTCATCATAAGTGACTAATTTGATTTCTGGATCAAAACATTAGTGATTACTGTGCATCTATCATTGATAGATGGATCAAATTTTAGCATATTGATAAAATCATGGTGTAAGGTTTCCACTACAAGGGCAGATCAAGGGTTATAATACATTTTCTGAAGTCAACCCTTCTTGTGACCTACAAAATAAACATAAAACTGTATAATTCTGTTTGGGGTAGGAGTGCAGTTGAAGTAAATTACCATTGTTCAAACAAGAACTCAAGTTCTAAATTCACCATTTACTAACTGTGAGATCAATTTAACTTTTATAGACATCAGTTTCCTCTGTAAAATGAATATATTGTCAAAAATCCTTCATATGGTCATTGTGAAATTAAATGAAATAATTCACGTAAAGTGCTTAGCTCTATACCCAGGGTATGGTGAGAAATGGATGGTAGCTAATGCATTGAGCATGTTATCACTAAGAGTAATAATATTATTATAGTAAGAGAACATAAATTCAGCACATGTTTAGGCAAGTAAGACTTTAACAGGAACCAATTGCAGAATATTTGAGACGCTATAGTTTCTAAAAACTATCCTTATTCTATTTTTAGATCCAGTTCAATTATCACCTTTGCCTTCCTATGAAGTACCAATATTATTTTTGCCCCATGTAATTCTTGCTTTCTAAATTAAAACTTCTTTTTATTTATTTATGAGAGAGAGGAAAGGAGGGAGAGAGAGAGTGAAATATCGACTGGTTGTTCCACTTAGTTATCCATTCATTGGCTGATTCTCCCATGTGCCCTGACCAGGGATCAAACCCACAACCTTTGGTGTATCAGGATGGCACTCTAACCAACTGAGCTACCTGGCCAGGGCCACCTCTTATAATTCTTTGTTATTCATACTATTTGAGGAATAACTTGATAAATGAATAATCTTCTAGTCTTTCCTAAGTCTCAGGGCCTAATAATATCAAGATATATTACTCCTTTATGTCACATTACAATGTAGATCAGGTAGAGAGTGGGGATGATTCTTTGTTCCATTTAGTTCCATTTGGCTATTCAGGGATCCATGAGTGGCCTGGCCATCTTCTAGAACCCTGGAGTCCTCCATTAGATATTTTGCACTGGGTTATTAGGAGGGAAGAAAACTTGTTGAGGATTCTGAAGGATATCTTATTTCATTGGCCAGAAGTCACATTGCCCAATCTAATTGCAGGGAATGTTTTAAAGTGTAATTTAGTGGTCTGTTTGGGAGGAAAAATAATGCATTGCTGAACACAGCATTATCTCTGCCCTACCAATCAACCAAACACTTCCACCAACAAAACTAAGTTAATTATCTAAAGATTCGCTGAGGAACTCCTATCTACAAAATTTATTGCACATAATTTTATAAAGGTATATATCTCATATTACAAATACTCTGTCAACAGGGGTTGGAGTCTAGGAAGGCTTTATACTACCTTTTGATATGTTTAGCTTTATAGGAATTCTCTGGGTAACTTTTTGGGGAGCATTTATCCTGCTTCATTTCTACTTAAAGCTTGTATATGTGAAAGTAGATTATATCATCAAATGAGCATTTTCCTTGCTTTTATCATCTTGTGTCATTATCCCAACATTCTTTTATTATAGCTGTTATTGAGAACATACTTTCAGATTTAGCATGGAGATTAACTGTGAAATAAGTAAATAGTGAATTGTTTTGTTAGAATGAAGTCTAAAAGTCAATGCTTTTAAGAGTTTTTTATTGTAAACTGCTATTTCTAAATGACTATAATACTCAAAAAACAGCAGATTGATAACTTTAGATTTAAATTTTTTTTCTATAAAAAACTGCTGTGATGGTAAATTCTATGCTCAGTGCACACTTTACTGTGATACTCCAAAATATGACTTTTTCTGAAGTTAGGCTTTACTGATGAGAGAGTTGCTTATATTACAACTCATTTAGTACATGAGTTCCCAGGCACTCTCCAAAAGACAGACCTGTAATGTTTTCATGATCATGTTTATTCACCAGGGTTCAGGAAATAGTTCAGATGTCCTGCTTATTTTACACTTTACAAACCAGCTGCAAACAAGAGCAACTAGCACTTAGCACTCACATTAATACCAATAATCTGTTTGAGGCTAGCTGTGTGTATGAATGGTTTGATTTCCACTAAGAATATGTTTAAAATTTTGAAAGGAATACATATTTAAATTATTTTTTCATAATTAATATACATATATGAAATTAGTCATATATTTTGATATTTTATTAAAAATCAAACTATTCCTTATTATTCATGTTTAACTAAAAGATATTTTGCAGTCTCATTAAGATACATCATTAAGAATGACATTTTAGTAATTGACTTAAATACTGATATTTAGATGATTATATATTCATGTGCATACTTCTGTTTTTAGTGATTATAACACTAAATAATTTTGACATAAAATATTTATTGTTTTCCAAGTGCATTTTTAGTGCATGCCATTTTTCATATAATTACCTGTTTGCAAATTAAAAGATTATAGAATTCAAAACACTATCATAAGTTTTGTTTCCATGCTATTCTAACCAACTCTACCTTTATTAAATAAATAAATGTAGAAAAATGAATATTCATAAATACATTAGTTTTTTTTAATTGCAAATGAACATTATTTAATTGAATAATTCTGTGACAGAAAAGTGTTTGCAAGTATGCATTTTATAAAAGTGAAAAATGTCATTTTTACTATTTTATTAAGTAGAAATAAATTACTAAGCATGTAGTCATGTGAAAATAAATGTAAAATATCTATGACTAAAATATTCAGTCAGTTAGGTATTATGTATTATAAGCCCAATTATCTTGCATTATCTATCTTTGCATATAGACTTTCATTTATTATATTGTTTGGGTTATATAAATAATTTTCTTTATATTTTAAATAATTATTGATAAAGATTAGGGAGCATTTATGGGGAAAATAATTTAAGTTATATTAACTTTTACACAAGTATTCTAAAACTTTCATTTTATTTACTCTAGTGAATGCGAACCTCTAGAAATATTTCTAAGTTTACAGTCTATTTGGACATACAAATTAGTGAGTATTCATATTAAAAATTATTACCTTGAGTGCTGCATATTCTTCATGAGATTTCATATACTCTATTAGGTATTAAAAGTGTTTAAGTGCTAAATAATTCATTATTTTGTTTCTTTTGTCTTAAATTGGTATTACAAAATTTATGCTTGTATCACTAAACTCTTAGGTTATTTATAGAACATAGACATTTTAACCTAAGGTTTTGTACTTATTTGACAAAAATAATTTTAGTCCTATGGTAGTTAAGTAGAAATTGTTTAGCAGTTGCAGTTGTAATGTAGGTGCTAATTATAATTCATTGGCAAATTATTTAAAATTTTATGTAAGTTGGCTTTACAAAAATTTCTTCTAAAACAGTTGTTATATTTCCCCATGTTTCTTGCATCATGTGTTTTGAATTTAGCATCTGACATGTTT